GGGATAGTGGTGGGGGAGGTGGGGGGATCAAAGCAAAGGAGGAGGCAGAGGAGGAGAGATAGCAGCACTGCAGCGAGAGCGAGCTCCCCGCCTGCTACTGCCGCCACAACCGCCGCCGCTGCAACGAGTGTTCACTCCACTTTTCCTGAGAGCCAGTTATCTCCCTCACCCCTTCACCCCCTCCTCTGCCTCCTGTGAGTCATGGAAGTGATTTAGTGCAGGTGAGCGGAGCGGAGCGGCAACAAAGAGCCACACAGACCTGCTCGCACGTCTGCATCATGGGCAGGTAAGCTCCAGTCTGCATCCCTTCATCCCTCGGTCTCTCCTCAACTTCTGCAGAGTTTTTCACCCCACCACCACCACCACCACCACTACCACCACCACCCTGCTTTTGTCGAGTCTCCAGATTCCCCTCTCCGAGTCGAGGAGTAGTTCTGTGCCCGTCCGGGCTGCGCTGTACAGTGTGTGTGAAAGTGAGCGAGACACGGTGCAGATCGTCTCTGACAGTGTGAGGAGCGTTTAGCGCCTCTGTATTGACAGGCAGGCTCAGCGGGGTTGAGGGTTGGAAAGAGATGAGAGGGAGACGAGTCAAATCTCCGCTTGAAGGGACACGCACGATAACAGCATCAGGGATGATGATGTAAATCTGTGCTAGAGAGGATAATCCTGCTCAATAAGCCCTGGATGCTCAGCCTGTTTCACTCCGCACTTTCTTGTGTTTTGTTGGTTTTAGCCGAGGTGCAGTTTTCGGCTCATAAAAAGGAGAGCACACTTGTTGGAGAGCCGGATTAGTTCTCCAGGCGTTGTTTCATGTCCACACAGGCTGAGTTAGCTTCTGGGGGGCTTATAAGAACTCTTTTGTTTTTAAGTTGGGGGGTCAGAAGTCATCTCTTAGATGGGGGGAGGGGTACTGTCATGATTCTTGTAGCTCAGCCCTCCTGAGTGACAGCTGAGCTCTGTCACAGCTTTTCATCAGGACTCGAGCTCGGCCGCTAACGTGCACCACTGGGGGATAACCTGCTCTCATCTCTCATCTGGATTAGGCTGATTTACTGTGGCTCCTCATCAGCCAGCCCATGTTTGCGCGGGGCTTGACCTATAATGGCACCTAATGGCGTCATATGTTATTTCCAAGAGGACGCTGTCAGACGGGACGCCGTGGCCACCAGCCACGTCCAGCTGCAAAACGGCAGCCGTTATGAATGTTGGCTCTCTCCACGACCCTCATCAGAACCACTGCTGGCAGAGGTGCTGGGCAAGAATTAATGGAGCTCTTAAATTTAGAAATTACATTTATTGCCGGCTAAGTTTACCATCACTCTCTCTGTCTGTAAAGGACAACTCCGGAGGATGTTTTTATCTTTGCTGGCTGCCTCACTAAGTAGTTTTCAACACAGGCCTTAACTAAAAATATTAGGATCATCACCCTCACATTGATCTTCAAGCCCTTTCTCCATCCCAGCCTCTATAAATTCATTGATTTGCCTCCTCATGTATACCTGCTTCCCTTCTGTTGTGATTGGCCCAGATTTAATGGGGGAGGGGGATCAATAAAGGAAAATGGCTTTTACCTGAACTGACCTCATCGGTGTGCTCAGCGGAGAAAGAAAGTCTCTCCTTCTCGGATTCAGTTTAGTGGTCGGTTTGTGGCTCTACGTGAGACTTTAAAATAAAAAATAAAACCCTCACTCGCCCTCATTTTAAATTCAGGAGCTTGTGGGAAAAGTTTCGTTTAGCAGGCGGTGAAACAGCTCACGATCAGGGATCAATGAACAGACAGAAGCACCGTCAGCTGGTGAGCAACATTAAAAACAAGCTGAGGTTTGAACAACTTAAGGGAGCAGGAAAAAAAAGAAAAGGAAAACTGACTCGGCCAATTAAAGTTTTCAGACCATGCTGTGACAGCTTCTCACAAGCAAGTCAAGTTTCAGAGTCTGAAGTTTTGAAGTCCTGGAGGTGTTTTTTTTTTTTTTTTTTTTCAAGAAGAGAACACACATTTGCAGATTGTGCTCTGGGGATGGAGCGTTAACAAGCTGAAATCTGCTGGTGCTAAACGTCTTGTATTTTCAAAAGCAGGTACCAGTTTTTTTTATTTGCTTTAAGGATTTGTTTTGCACGTTGGTTTCTGTCTCAGTGCAGTGAGTTAGCAAAATATTCTAACAGTTTTGAGGAAATTAAATGATTAATTAGCACAGATGGATTTTTTTAAAGAAAGGACACCGTTTATGGAAAAACACATTTTAACATTTTTTTCATATTAGGGAAATGATTCTAAAATACATATTACACTTGTATTTCATGTGTTAGGCTATGTGTTTAAATGCATATTTTCACATGTGAAGTTTTTGTGACATTTGCTCCTATAAGGATAGTGATGTAAACCACCAGCATCATCACAATACGATGTCCTTTTGTTTGGATGAAGATACGTTTCTCATAATCAGAAAGTCTGTCATGATACAATTTCAATTCAGTTTAATTCACAAATCTATAATCAATATGATGCGATATCATCTGTCCATCTAACACAAATGATTGTTTGATGGACAGATGATATCGATCCACATCCATACGTGTCCACCCCTTCAGATGTTTACCTGTATAATGAGCCTCAAAAATTCGCAATTTTTGCAAAAAATCTGTATTAATTGCACCGCGCCAGGTCGGGGGTGGGGGTGCAGAGGTAACAGCACCTGTAGCAGATGGAAAGGAGGGTGGAAGGACTTGTTTCTAGTTGGGCTGCCATGATTAATCGATTAATCGACGACTAATTTAATAATCGATTAATCGTTGTCTTCTTTTTTTGTTCTTTGTTTTTCTCTCCAAACTGCTTTGACACCTTCCACTGCCACATCTGCCTTTCTGTCCTTGACACACATGCACAGTAGTGGTAACTGGGGTAGGCCGTGGACGTCACAAGACATTATACAGACAGGCTCTGGTATCATGGCTACCTGACAACGGAGCTCAAAAGTGTGGGATCATTTTAAGAAAATGAAAGAGAAACCTGTGCAGTATCTGCAGAGCAGAACTTACCTTGCACTGCAGTTATTTTTAGTTAGCATATAGCTAAAATCTAACCATGGTTATATAATAGCAGCTGCATTGTGGCGTGATAAGCTGTATGTTTTATATTCAATTAACGTATGATCTGATTAGTCGACTAATCAAATAAATAATCGGTGATTAATCGATTATAAAAATAATCGTTTGTGGCAGCCCTAGTTTCTAGTGACAGACTGGGTTGGAAGATGATTATTGGATGTTATTTGATCTTTTTAACGTCCTGCAGGCATGTTAAATAAATTTGAAACTGTTTTTTTTAACGTAAAACTTGAAAAAAATCTGCATAATATCTGCAAAATGACAAAAAATCCGTACAAATTATGAAAAATCCATACAACTTGACATATACGCACATGGGACATGTGATGACGCTGTAGATCAATGTTTTTATGTTTCCCTGATGTAATCAAAAATTTAATTGATATATCGATGTGGATTGATGTATTGTTCCAGCCCTACACAAAGTATGTGTTTCACATGTTCCTCATATGACATGTTGATTTAATATCTTGAATGAAAAATTTGGATTTTTCTACATTCCTGACAGAAAAAGAACCAGTGAATTCTATGTAAATTACATTTACAAAGTGAAACTGTTCTCCCTCGACTTACTGTTTGCTCATCAGTCTGATCAAAATTATGAGAAATTAGATATTAATTGCCCATTACCTATCCTTTGAACTTATGGTCTAAAACATTTTAAAAATGTTCTTTTTTGTTTCAAATTATTGTTTCACTGCATTCTGTGGTCAGAAAGTTTTCATCTTTGATCACATTCAGCATCAGTGAAAACACTGCATTTGGTTCAATAGCAAATGACAAAAACAGAAAATAAACCTTTAAAATGTTAAGAAACTAATTTCTGCCTTATTTTTTACAGCATTTCCCAAATGAGTGAATAATAAATTCTAATTTTTATCAGACTGCAGAAGCTGTCTGCGTCAAACCGCTGAAAAAATAACATGAAATTTTGCAGAGGAGTAAAAATAAACAAACAAAAAACAAACAAAGTGGGCAGATATTGTATCCATCAGATTAAAAGAAACATTAAAATAGAATTAAACCCCTCAAATTTATGGGTAGAAAACAACCTAATGTAATATTTATTAATAAATGTTTAACATATACAGATGCTGCCTTTGTGGGTTGTCTCTGAGCACACTGGTTTCCTCCCACAAACCAGAAACATCCATGTTAGGTTAACTGACAACTCTAAGTTGTCTCTAGGTGTGAGTGTAAGTGTGGGAGTTGTGAACTTGTCCAGTGTGAACCCCGGCTCTCATGCAGCTGCTGGACTTGGACAACAGATCACAACTCTGAACTGAAAACCAGGTAATGGACTGATAATTGGCTGTATGGATAAACCATATAATTGTAACACATTTAAAATCTTTATGAAAGGAGCTGTCCCAAATAACCAATTAAAGCTAAAAAAACATATCAAAGGGTATAAACTGGATAAAACATTGAATGAGAGCCCAGGTTAAACACAGGAAACCGATGCAGTTCTCAGACTATTTCTTTGCACACATATAAAGTTACCCCTTCACAACACTGCGGACCACTCACTCAGAATGTCCCCCTGGCTTCAGAATATGAACAAATGGCTCTGCCTTCTTCAGAACCAAGTCATGCCCATGAAAATAACATCTTGCCAACAAAGAAAACGACTTCACCTGACTGCATGACTTGGCTCTTGTACACAAGGTTTTAATGAGCTTACATGTGAAAACATTTAATGCAAGGTGTGAGTTAAATTAAATAAAACCTAAATGTTTTCTAAAACCTATGCTTTAAACATAATAGTATATAGAATTGTTTTAGATTAGTGCTGCCTACCACTACTAACAAATAATAACTGAGCTCTACGTGGTATTTCCTGCATAGAAATAGTGTTTTAACACATCCTCTTATAAACACTGAAAACTACTATGTGTTTGACTGACTCAATATGAAATAAATAATACATAAAAACTATTAAAAGTAAAAGTAAGAGAGTTTTACTCACTGTTGAGTTGTGGTAAGTCTTGAATTCTGAACTCTTTCACTTTCCAACAGGAAATTCCCATACAGTCAATATGCTTGAGGGAGATTTAAGTTATAGTCAGTGCTGGCTTTAAAGCAGCTTATTTTATGACAAGGCAGGACAAGTATTGTTATCCTTCACCATTTAAATTTATTTTGTTACATAAATTTAAAATTTAATATTGAAAAAAAAAATTTTATATTTAAAAAACAAAAAAAATTATATATTTGGTGGGCCGGACTTAAGTCACTCATAGGCCGCATTTGGCCCGTGGGCCTTGCATTTGACACATGGGCCCTACAGACAAATATGAAATTGTCAGGCCTCATTTATTTTAGTTATATCCTTAAAGATGGTGTTGGTAAAACTTTTGAATGTTGCACATTATTTTACCCATTGCCTGTATTTTAGCCATTGCTAGTGTTTATAACTGTTATGTTTTTTAAACCATTGTTTGTGTTTTATGTCACTATGCTATCCCCACTCACTTAAAAATAAAAAAAAAGCATTTATGGGTAAATTGATCAGTTTTATCCAACAATGTTTTTAGTTTTGATCGGTCTTTTATAATGCGAGCTGCTGACCTCTTGGACAGGTCAACTTTAGAAAAGAGAGCTTGATCTCAATGGGTTTTCCTTTGGTTAAATACAAGGTGATGAGGGATCCCCGATTAGTTGTAACATTAGACTTTATATGATAAACATACTGTATACTTTAACTGTAAACAGAGCTGCTTCATGGAAGAACCTCAGCTTAGCCTGTTAGCTTTAGCGTTAGCCCCAATGCTATCACCATATACATATATGTATTAGCTCAGCGCTACACATTCTCCTCTCATCACTGAGGTCCTCCATCCACATGACAGAGAGGGGAGCACAAAAATGACTCAGCTGTAACTGAAAATATGGATGGAGGACCTCAGTTTAGCTTGTTTGTCGCGCTAGCGCTGAGCTAATACAGTACATATAAGGCTATATAGCGTGAGGGCTAGCGCGAAGGCTAACAGGCTAAGCTGAGGTTCTTCTTCATGAAGCAGCTCTGTTGTCCTCCATCTATATTTTCAGTTACAGGCTGAGTCATTTCTACCTTCTCCTCTCTGTCAA